CAGAAAATGAGATGAGTAACATGGTGCAACATGAGGCCCGCTTTGGTGTTTGGTAGAGCTGTCAATGCAGAGAAAGTGAGGGATTACAGGGGGACGAGTTTGGACTGGATGACAGGACTTGTCTTGAACAGATATAGGAACCTCCAAAGTTCTCTTGATTGTAAAAGTTTCAGAACTAGAAGAATTAATAAAAAGTCATAATTTGTGTCCTGATGTTCAGTGGTGAAAGGAAACCTACCTGACCCCGACTCATCAAAGTCTCTTGTTTCTCTGCAGAAGGAGAGCCCCCTGGAGAAGACCTCCATCAGTGCGAACCAGTCGGGATCTCTCGACTTCTCCCTGGAGTCCTTGAACAAACTGAACCACAGCAGCTCCAGCAGCGGAAGCCTGTTCCCGGACACGGGGTCGGGCAGCCGCAGAGGTGACTGCCTCGTCGACGCCGGGAAGAGCGCAGAGGACTGCTGCAAGTTAGACGAGCTGTCCTCTTCCAGTTTCTCGAGCAAGCCTGGGGCGGATCCGGTGGGTTCTCTGAGTGACTCGCTGTACGATAGCTTCTCCTCGTGCACCAGTCAGGGATCCAACGACGTGTAGGGGCAACAAGGACCTGGGCTTGAGTCTTGGCAAGGCCACTTTTTCCACCACAAATCCTGTGCATTAATTGGTTCCCCACTGAAGAGTTACTGAAGGATTTACAGGTAGATCGTAGTCCTTGTTGAACCTCCGAAGGTAAAAAGACCCAACAGGACTTGGTTTGTTTACTTTGGTCCCATTCCCCTTTGGATTTGGTCTTGATTCACGCCCCTTAACCACATATGGCTCCAACTGGACTTTGCTGATCTCGAATCACGCCCTGCCACTAAACGTTGAACTCTTTTCGTCGCTAAATTCAACACGAAGCACTTAGTAGATCTAAAGACACAAGGCCTCGAACCTCTACCAAAACACCAAGCGTGGACTTTTCAGACTCGGACTCTGGGTTTGGTGGATTTGACAGCAATACTCAACATTGTCTCATTGCGACTTTCCGTTCCCTCCTCCTGGTTCGGGGACTTCTTATCGTTGCACTGTAAGAAATTGTGTACAAAGTTTGTAAGGAGTGTAAAGTGAATGATCCTTGGAGCGGTGATAAGCAGTGCGTCTCTGACGGGCGACCTTGGGGTGTTTTTTGCAATGAGGTTTTTATCTGACCGCATTCCTGTTCGTTAGAGACTAGATGAAACTAAGGTGTCGTTTTATGTTTGCTGCTAAGTTTGCTGCCCATTCATGTCGCCCAAAAAAACACATCAAATGACAACTGGTTCATATTTTTTACTTGATTTTGAAGCAATATTTTTTTCAAACTAAAAAAAATAATAAGTTTTCCATTTTTGTTCGTTTCAAGTCGTTTTGATGTCGAAGCAGTTGCCAATCTTGTCTTTGTGTGTTATTTAAATAGGGATGCATGATAAGGATATTTTAAGCCGATACTGAATATGAATATTAATAATTATTAATACCCATTATTTTAAGTATTTTTTAAGGAGCTCAGAAATGTAATAGTCCATGTCTTCCTCTGAATCTTCAAATTGACAAAATGTGCACAACATGATGCATACTGATATATAGTGATATATTTCAATATGTACCGATAAAAACCTATAAACACAGGTATGAACTGACACAACAGATGCCAGAAAACACCAAAATATACCACTGTGCTCCGACATAAAACAATATATACTGATATAAATGGCTGTATACAATGTATACATACATATACCGATATATGCCAACATACACTGATATACACCAATGTACAATGATATACCAATGTGTTCTGATTTATGCCATTATACATTGATATATACTGATGTGCACTGATTTAACTGTATACCAATGTATAATAGTATATACAGATATATACCAATACACTTTGATATACACCGATGTATACTGATATGCACAGGTATATACCAATGTATACCTCTTCACACCAATAAACACTGATAGATAATGGGGTCCACTCATTCAGGATAATTCAAGGTGGACTGATAAAACAGTTTATATATCGGCTACACTGATGTATTCTGATGTGTTATGTGTATAAACCAATGTATACTGATATGCACACCGATATATAGACCGATGTACACCGATATAAACACCGGTCTATACTGCTATATATGGATTTATAGTGGTAGATGCTGATGCATACCAGTGTATACTGATATATACAGACAACACTCTGATATCAGGGCCGATAATTTAGCCCATGCATTCCTTGTTTTCAGCCAGAAAAAGTTGGTTATTTTTCTAAAATGTTCTTTTTTTTTTTTTCTTTCTGCAGTGAATTTTCTGTTGATTCTCTGCTTCCATGCGGTTCATTGAAACAATTGTTCTTTTTTCTTATTCTTGACTTACCCAGCTTCAATATCGGTAGCTCAGGGAACATACTGGACTGATGTAGATTGTAAAAACTAAAAAAAAAAAAAAACTAACCATCAGGAAATCGTTGATTTAAAAAAAAAAAAAAAAAAGCACTCTTTCGCTGTTTTTGGGCTCCTCATGCAAAAACTCCAGAATCCAAACGCTTGAGCTGGTGTAGCGTAGCATACCTGAACTCTCCAAACCTCAGTTTTCCTATCATAGATGTACATTATGTTGTATATAGATACTGCTATAAGTTAATATCAGAAGGGGCGTTGCTGATTGATATATGCAAATTAAAAAAAAGAAAGAAAAAAGGTGTAAATTGTTTGCCAATCATTCAACCAAGGTTTTACGTCGTCGACTGTTTGAAAATGGCATGTATGTTTTCCTGACGGACTTCTTGTGTTTAAAAAGTCTTTATTTTGATCATTAAGAGCTAATACGAGAATATTTTATCACTTTATTATTTTAAAGACATATTTGAACTTTAGGTGAAGTTATTATGCCAAATCTCTATCTGGAATTTGACCAGCTGGTGCTAATCAAAAGAGCCGACTGTGTTTGGATTTTTCTATGACACTGTTAATATTGTATGAAGAGAGTCTGAAGAGGACTTGTGTATTTTTCTAGATGTCCAGTATTTATACCCACATTTTGTACTGTCAGACTGTAGTGTGATTGTCATGCTTCACCTCTCTCCTTAAATGTTCCTGGTTCCTTTGTAAAGAGAAATGGTTACCAGCAGTGTTACTTTGGTAATTATTATTATTACTATTATTAATGTTATTCTTATTATTATTATTATTATTATTACTGTGTGCAATTTTGTCTGTTACACCAGACTTTAATGCTATATTTTATGTAACTATTTCCTAAATAAATATGAGATTTCCTATTTCAAACTGAGCTCTGAGACGAGTGTTTGTGTGTTTTATTCATCCATCCAGGCTGCGTGGACTGAAGTGGGCGTGTGCAGGCGTGTATGCATCATGAGATGATTAATACTGTTTTATTTTTTCACTGTGGAGGTAAAACAGTTTGGAGAAAACCCTGAAATCCTCCTCCTCCTCCTCGAGGGTATCATCTGTGTTTAATCACAGTGAAGCTCAGAGCCACTGACAGTTTCCTCCTGAGTCTCAGCGTGGAGCGACTCAGAGCTGTTTGTCCTCTGATCTGTAATATGAGCCGATAAATACGAGCAATTAGTGCGCACACGCATGAGCTCTCTGCACATCCACTGAGGACAGCTACGGTGGCCCCGAAGGACAAACACTGAAACATGTCACGCTGCAAAAATAAATTTCCCCAAGCTCAGAAATAGTTTAGTAGTAATCATACGATAAATATTTTAAGGAACACACTAAATTTATTTTTAAAAATACACATAAAAATTTCTCTCAGCATAAAAACATTTAAAACAACACAGAATTTTATAAAACATTCAACATTTTTCACATTGTGCAAAGAAGTTTCCATGAGATAAAATGTTCAAAGTTTTTACTCAATTCTTTTTTTTCTGCAAAATGTTAAAAACCCCTTTATTGCTTTTTGTATCATATTTGATATTTCTGTCAAATCAATATGATCAAAAAATTACAAAAAAAATCACCTGAATACAGTCTGATAAATGATAAAAATGTCCTCTTGTATTTTACCAGTTTCCAAAAACATCTAATGTGTCCAACGAGATTAAAAAATATATATAACTGTTAAATTTTAAGGAAATTTTGATTTTTTTGGTTTTCAGTAGTAAATGAATAAAACATTTCACCTCCAAAAAAATTGAACTTTCTGACCATAATTTGTGGTTTCAGGCATTAAAGGGTTAAACTGTATTTCTTTAACTCTGTTCCATAAAATGCTTGTGAGGTTGACCTTCCCACTGAGCAAGCGACGTCCAAAAGAAGTCGATATCACGTCGGTCCATTCAGAATGTAATCTGAACTTCTATATTACGTTTATATTTAGTCGAAACGTGACATTAAGTGATGTTGTTCAAATCTGGACGTCTACAAACAACTAGAACTAGTCAAGGATAGATGTCGAGACAGACCACAATCTAAAAGTCTATGTTGATGAGTCGAGAGGTTCAGTCTGCCCCAATTCTGGATGTTATTAGACAACCAGAACTTGTCAAAGACAGACATGAACATCGGCCACTATCTGAACGTCTACATAAGGTTCGTATTTCGTTCGTCTGCGGTTAGTCTAGTGAACTAGTGGAGGATGGATGTTATGACAGACCATATTATGAACGTCTATATAAGGTCATTTTTAGGCCTAAAGCACACCAAGACTGCCATTTCATGACCTGGCGACCTTAAGAACTTTGACCTTGATTTTAAATCACTTCTAGGAGGGCTACAGACATCAAATTCACATCAGGGCCACCGTACAATGATGTTCAAAGAACCACTTTTCCTTCTTATGATACTGATGATTAAAAAATGGAAACGACCAGGAAAAATAGTCCACAGCAACAGAGTTGGAGGACCAAAGATGACGCTTAAACGTCACTGAAACTTAAAAAAATACAACTTAAAACAAGATAAAATGTTTTTGTTTTATTGGGATCAAAAAGAAACGATCTCTCAGAAGATGAAACCACAGAACGCTTCACTTCCAGTGTTGACTCTCTGATGTTTCTCTGTTTTTCTGCGCATGGAGACAAACCCCACGTCCAGAATATGAAAATTCCAGCTGTGCGCTCCCGTCACGTGGTCTCCCGTATGTTTTCCGCGCTCTGACTTGGTCACCACTCGCGCGCAGGAGCTCACACTCCTCTTCCTCCTTCCTTCGCAGCGCTCCGGAGCTTTCCCTCTCACCTTCAGCCGGAGAGGATGAGCGGATCCGGGTCTGGGCTTCCTCCTCCGCGGCGGTTCCTCCTCCTTCTCCGCCTCCTTCTCCTCCTCCATGCGTCCCCCTTCTCCGCCTAAAAGGAGCTGCTTATTTGGTCGGATGTTTCCCCTCCGAGCGGCATTTGGGAGAGAATGCGTCTTCTCGTTTTTGCGACTTTATTCGGAGTCCTTCTCGACGCAGGTAAGGAGCTTTCAGTCAGACACCTGAGCGTCAGTGAGAAATGTACGAGGTTACATCGTGCGTAAAATGGACAAACGGGCGTGCAGCAAAGAAGTTTTTTTATTATTCACATGTTTGGAATCGATCGTTTTCATCTTTTCATATGTGCGTAATTTCTGCTTGAACGTGTTGCACCTGATTTGGATTAAAAAATCAGAGCTGCAGCCGCGTGGAAACTGTTTTTCTCTGCGTAATCAAAGTCTCCACGCAGGACTCTCAGATCGTAACGCAGTAAAGTCCCAGTGATGGTTTTGGAAATGAAAAAACACGCAGAATTTGGCGCACTCCGGAACAATCACATTGTGGTTTTTTGGTGCAGCTTTTACGCACGTTTGGCGCCGGACTCCTCTGCGCTTTGTTGGCACCGAGGTGTTAAAATCAAATCTTCCTTCTGCTTTGTTGTGTTGACTCAGGAGCTGAAGACGCTGTTTTTTTAGCACCATTTGAGATTCTGTTTCCTCCTCTGTGACCTTTATTTATCATTCTGTTTCTTTCTGAGGAGGTTTTGGATAAAATGTTTGTGCTTTTGCAAACCCCCCTCACCTGAGAACCAGAACTCTTCTTACCTGTTTCCTCTCCAGGGGAAAAAACAAGTAGATTTAAAGTCTTATGGTGAACCTGATCAAGTGTTTGTCAGGTGTTCCTTCTTATCAGAGTGATTGATGGAGGCTCCAGATATTTGCTTTCTTTAAAATAATTAGTCCCGGGTTCTGATGTTAGATGTGGACCTTTATCTGATGCGTTGGATGGTGCTGTCCCAGCTGAGATTAATGTCTCCTGCCAATTCAATAATTACATCGGTAATGTATGTCAGCGGGGACAGATTGCCTGTGTGGGGCATTTGGGAAGGAAAGGGCAGAAGAGAAGTTTTGATTAAACGCCTCCATGATGAAGACGTCAGGGAGGAAAATTAATGAAAGCGGGCGAGTTTGGCATATTTCAGGTTTCTGTGCAAATTCAAACAGACGTTTGTGATCAGAGAAGATGAATAACATCATGAGGGGTGTTTTTTTATCTCCAGAAAACACTATAAAGCAACGAAAACCTCCTCCTCTCTAAAGGTCATGCAGCAAAAATGATCTAAAACTTTGATTCTTGCTTGAAATCAGCACCAAAACCTGCGATTTACAGAGAGAACTTCAGCCCTGAGTTTTAACATCTTCTCCATTTTGCATCTGAAAGGAGTTTTACAGTCTACAGAGGCCCCCAAGAAGCACTGAGTGTTATCTTCATGAGGAGACGAAGTGAGACAAGAAGAACATCCACCCAGACAGAGCGCAGCACGCCTCCTCTTTCTGCCTGTGTGTGTTGTAATCGAGCTTCATCGCCTTAAATGCACGGGTTAAAGGCGATTCAAAACAACCACTTTAGTGTTTTTATCCTGATACTCTAAAGCTCATTCTCACCCCGAGTGTGAAAATCTATAACCTCTCACGAGACGGCCAATAAAACAGTCTAAAAACAGCAAAGTCCTGATTGCATATCTGCCTCATGAGGCCGTGAAACCTCTGGCAAAGTGCAACCAAAGTAAGTCGAAGACAGAAAACGCCAATGACACCGCCCTCTCACAGTGTCATTAGTCGCCTTTTTAGCTGCGACGCCGTCAAAGGCACTCTCACAAAGCAAAATCCATAAAAGCCCCCGCTGTTTGACTCCAGAGGAAGATAAAGAAGGTGCATAAAAGAGGCTCGAAATGTGTGGAGTATTTTTCTAAGTGATAGAAAACACGACGCACAAAAGAGAACACAAGAATAAAGCAGCCGGTAAGATCAGAAAACAAGAAAGAAAGAAAGAAAGAAAGAAGAAAGGCCCACGGGGAGGCTGCTTTTACGCCGTTATTAAAAAGTCCCCTTTTAACAAAACTTTTAGTCGACCTACGACAGAATCGACCCGGCCTTTTTCTCCCGATTTGAACTCCGGGCTTAGCCTGTCAGCGCAACGTCAAACACAGCTAGCCTGGGTGACCAAGTGAATGACGAGATGATTATTCGAAAACATCTGAAAAATTGTAATCTGAAAAAAACAACCAAGGCATTCCTCATTTTTGAGGTTCCTGGTTCCTACCAACAATGCCACAATTTCAAAATGCTATTTCGAGCTAGCATCATAACCAATTTTACGCTTTAATTTTCATTATTTTAGACCCCAGAACAATATCGTTATTTTTTGAGTCTTAGAAGTAAAATTTTTTTTAATTTAAGGTCAAACACACCAGAACACCAACTTAGACCCCCCCCCCCCCTCCAGAGATGAATGTTGCCGACCGCTTGCTTCTCTAGTTTACCAACTTTAGTAACGACCGCAGGATAGCAATACAGAGAGCCACGCCCTCAACCAAAACGCCACTCTACAGTCACAAATAATGCTCAGAACAGCACCTAACTTCATCAACAGCACATATAGGGTCACAGACATAGTACTAGACACCAAACATCAAGAGACCAAACACAACTCACCTACTCTCTTCCAGCAGCCACTTGTTTGTAGAGTCCATTACAGACTACAGCGGAGTGCCGCAGCTCAAGGAAGAACATTTATTATCATTTCTTTATAATTTCCTTGAAGTAAGAATCACCATATTAATAATTTTTCTCTGCAGACGCGGTAGTTCTTCTGTCTTAGTGTCTCTGTCTGATTGTATTTCCATGAAGAAATAACTTAATTTTATGCCAGAATATCCCTTTAAGTGGATTTTGTAGGTGTTCCCCCCATTCCAAGTCTGTGCATCAAGCTAACTTCCTGTTAGCTATGGCGTCATAGTCAACAAACATCCTGTTACGGAAAAAATAGAACTCTTGCGATCAGCTGTGGAGTCCGGTGATCCGCAGCAGAACGTAGCTGCGATCAGCATATACGGCCTTTTCTTAGCCGTTCCGGATGCGGTGGAAATTGGGGGTTAGTCATATCTCAACCTTGTCAAATTTGCACGTATTTCAGATCCCTGAAGCCACCGATATTTTGAACTTCTTTGAAACAGAGGACTCTATTTCACCTAAAACATCGTAAAGAAAGCGAACGTTTATCCCTGATACTCCTTCAGGGAACTTTGAGAAGAATAAAAGTACCACAGGCTCAGTTTTCTTGCAGTGTAAGTAATGTTTGTGTATTTTGGTGCAGGAGACGCCCTTCAGATCCAGTGCTACCAGTGTGAGGAGATGAAGCAGAATGACTGCTCCACGCCGGAGTACATCGTCAACTGCACCGTCAACGTCCAGGATATGTGTCAGAAGGAGGTGCTGGTCAAACCCGATGGTGAGGGACGAGTTTGTGTCTGAGAGTGATCGATAACTGAAGGTGTGACAGACGGAGCTTTAACACGGCCCTGAGAGCTTAAAGTTTCGGTCGGCGAGATGATTAAGACGCCGAGGTTTCAGCAATCTTCATGGTCGGACAGTTAGCATAAATACTGACGTCTTGACTGAGAGGATGTGGTAAACAAGCTCTGTGGAAAGAGCAGGTCATGAAAATCATGTTTTTTTTGCAATCTTGTGTTATTTACTCGAAGTTATGTAACCGCAGCAGACGCAAACAACACATTAATGTATCTGCGGTGCTGAACCCCTCGGCGTTTTCCTCTCCTCCCCACCGAGGACGCTCACTGTGTCTTTTTTTATCTACACCTTAAAATCCCCCCAAATATATGACTTACTGACCCGGCAGAGAAGGCCGAGCAGGTTAAACCAATCCCCTGTGATTTTCACAATAATAGACGCTGTTATCTGTCATTTCGCTCCTCTGCTCGGCTTCAAAGGCGGAGCATGGATTGATGGACTCCCGGTGATACGGAGAGCACAGACGGATCACCACACAGAGTCTCACACCAGCTTCTCCGAGCAGCTCAAAAATAAACCCACAGAAACAAACCCCGAGGTTTTAAGGAGGCGTTTTTGGTGTCTTGTTGTTGGGCTCTTACCCCGAACACTATCTCTCCGGACCGGTTTATTCGGCTCATTCGTCAAAGCGAGGAGGCTGTTCTTCAGCCTCCACCAGATTCGATTAGCTTAGCGCCACGCTACAGGAAATGAAACAGTTCAGTCTGTGGGGCGCCAAAGTCGCCATTTGTTAAAGAAGGTTGTGCTGCTTAGAACGGAAACATGAGACAAGAAGAGCAGGAAGGGGCTGCCTGTCAGTCATATAAGCCCCGCCCATAATTCTGTAAATACATGCATTCTATCGAGTTAAGAAATACTGCCCCCCTGTGGAGCATGTTGGAATCTATTAACTACCTGCACAACAAAAACTGGACGAGTACCACAGTCAGTACGTTTCCATGACACTCAAAAAAAACAATTTCTTCCCCAATTAAAACTGGACAACTGAGGAGCACGTAAACACCTTAGTCCGACTATAATCGGAGTTTGAGAACTCCGATTATAGTCGGAGAACTCCGATTAAGACACCCAGATCGTAGGAGGCCGAATATCTTTGTTGAAAGTTTTATTTCTAAAGGTTCGTTACTTCCGGGACCGTCACCGAGGGGTGTGGTTTTGGGATGTTTGGCGGCTCATTTAAATCTCACCGCTGTAGTCAGACGACGGGTTTGGTAAGCGCTGATATTTTTCTGTTGACCGTTTTTCACCGCTTCATTCATTCACCCTGTTTTAACCTCATTTCATCATATCACCTTATCAGCTGAAGGCAAATATTTTGGCCCCGGATCGGCACCGCTGAAAAGACCCATATCGCCCCCTAGTTTTGTGGAGCAGGAGGACACATTCATGTCAGTAATTCGGTTTTCTCCGCTGCATGTAAACGAGGACAAGGAGAGAATAGTTTAACAGTTTAACATGGGAGTGAATGGGAATTCCATGACTTATGAAGCCGCCCTCCGGTGGACATTTGGGGTATTGCAGGTGTAACTTTCAACACTCGAGGTCGCTGCTTTGTTTTCGATGGTGAGAAGTAGAAATATTCGTGTTCTGTGTCGTATTATTCGTAAAATGCTGACTGCAGTAGCGCCTCTGTTTTACTGGACGTTAAGCATGAATTCAGCTAGTTTCCGCCTCTGTCTTTTGGTGCGATAACACGTTAATTTTGTGTTGTACTTGTGCTTTTATTAAACACAGATGCTTCTGACGTTTCCAGTAAGACTGAACGGAAACCTGGTGACATATTGCCGAGTTTAGTTTGATGTTTTTAGGTCGGATGTACAAACAGATGATGAAGGAAAGTGGTCGAATTTGTTTGTTCTGCATCCTCGATCATAAATTTCTCTACATTTCGAGGATGTGTAATTAGTTAAATCTGATTTTCCTCGTTCAACACGAACTAAAACCACACAATAAGAAAGGTGCACAAAGAATCAAACGTGTTCTCCAACATATCATCACATAAAACATCCAAACCCGATAGAGAAACTTCAGCCGGGCTCTCTGGGGCGCAATAAAAAGTTCAGCGCTGCAGAATATGAGTTTTTTCATACAGGCAACTAAATTTTTCGTAACATATACGACACCAGCAGACATCAGTTTATAAGAGCAGACGTGAAGTCAATACCTTCATGGTTTTATGGTGCAATAAAGCTCTGAGGCAGCGCTGCGACAACAGAGGCAGCTAAACATCACATTTTGAATCAAAGCAATCTAATTACAGCGCAGAGAGGAGAGAGATTTTCTCTCCGTTTGTGGAGATTAAAAAAAATACGGCTGCAGATGAAGCTTCTGTGTCTGGACGAACGTAAAATGCAGAAATTGATTCACTCTTTCTTTTATGCAGGGATACATTATCGGAAATCCTGCGCCTCCTCCGGCGCCTGCCTCATCGCCTCCTCCGGGTACCAGCAGTTCTGCACCGGCAGGCTGAACTCGGTCTGCATCTCCTGCTGCAACACGCCACTCTGCAACGGGCCCAGGAGGAAGCGCCCGCCCCAGTCTGCAGCCACGTCCGCCCGGCAGCACACGAACAAGTCTCTTCTCCTCTTCGTGACGCTGCTGACGCTCCTCCCTGTGACGTAGACGGACGAGGACGCCATCGTGTCTCTGCTGTACAGTTCCGTAGAAGCACCTCTGCAGAGCTGGGATTCAATCAGAAAATCGATCAATTCTTCAGCTCAATCACCTTTTTTCCTCTTATTTACACAAAGTTGTGACCTTTTAATCCAACAAGGCAGAGGCGGAGAATTTCTGCACCACTAGAGTTGAATAATAATGATGATAATAAGCATTGAAGCTAACTCCTCCTGAATGCAAAAGTTCCCCTTTTACTCTCGCCAGCTCAAATTCAACAGCACAGCAGCTGAATCCTAACGAGACCGTCATGTAAATACGCCTGAATCACCTTCAAACTTCCCTACGCACCGTTTTCAAACTGAACCCGGACTCTCTGTCGCAGGTTCACGGTTCTGGAGCTCGGACCTGCGATCACCGCCGTGGAGCAGCGTGTTTGGACTCAGCTTTACCGCCTCAGCATCATGAAAAAACTGAAGTGCGATCGATTTGACGCCGGGACGAAGAGGAGCTTTTTTATTAAAAGGACGAGCCGAAGCGAGGTGTCTCTGTGTTTCTTTGCTTTTCGTGAAGTGGAGCGTTTTGTGAGGATCCTGCTCTGCACTTATTTTCCAGTCATTACAGCCGTAAAAGCTGCTGTTACAAGTCAATGTGGAAAATGATGTGTTTGGGTTTTTACTCTCGGTTGATATTCATGTCCTCGGTGTTGCTCAGAATATGCACTGCTGATGTGAACGTACCAACAAACAGAGTTCGATCTGAGAGACTCGGATTTAAAGGATCCTGTTCAGTGAAGTGGTGGTTATGCAAACGATAAACCCCCACAGGGTGAGCGGGACACGAACGTGGCGTGTTTTTACCACAGTGTCAACAGGAAGAAGTGAAACACGCTCCTCCTCCTTTTTGGCTTATTTGATAAAAAGTGGACAATCAGGTCGGCTCTGGTGTTGCTGTTGCTATGGAGATTAAATCGCCGTCGTTATGAGATTTATAGTGCATTCAAGTTACCCCTAAAGTCAGATGTTGGAGCTGAAAATGACGTCACGCCTGAGTTCCCAGTGTTTCAGTCACCAAGTCGCTGTTAAAAGTGCTGTTAATATATTTCAAATACAAATAACCTGATTAAAAAACAACCTTGAAGCACAAATAAACCCTTCATGATGGAATCAGATGTATTTTCCTACGATGCTGAGGTCAGACTCCCTGATCCTGCAGCTGTACGGTCCAGAGATGCTTGTTGTGTGTCCTTGTAAACCACAGAGACGCATCAAGGACCTTTTACATCCTGTTTGAGTTTAGGTTCTGTAACATCAGCGAGCGCTGAGTGTTTTTCTGATGGGATCGACGGAACAAAGTGTCCTTGTGGTTGTTTATGTCATTCTCTTTGAGGCTTCTGTGAACACGACACGGCTTCAGACACAGTTATGTGTTAACAGACTTCTTCTTCTTCTTCTTCTACTTCTTCTTCTTCCTCCTTGGGCCTCAACAGAAAGTCCCTTGCAAATTTACAAACCCTGAATCTGAGACAATGACCATCATCATCATCATAACAGAATCTTTCCATGTAGAAGCAGGTTAATTCCTCGTATTAGAAACTGCTCCATGTTTGTTGCACTTTTGAAACCCGCACAGCGTTAAAGCCAAAGTGAGCGACCACAGGCACAGACGTGTATTTTGAGGTTTCTTTAAGGAGTTTGCTCGAATGTTCAAATGAATGTCGTATCTTTGTTCTTATTTATTTCATGACTCGTTCTGGAGAATCACATGGCTGCTGTGGAGGCCGATGTCAGGCCGAGGCGGATCGTTTGATCAGTTTTAATGGCATATTTTTGACCGGTCTTCTGTGAAGAGTGACGCTGTATTCTGCTCATCTGTGATGTAAATAAATGTTGCAGGAAAACAGACGAATCCAGCGGGTCCAGTGGCCTTTTTTTAAGACATCTTAGCTACCAAATAACTTGGGTCAATTAATGAATAAGTTCCCTGTTTAAGACAGACAGACAGCATAATAATAATAATAATAATAATAATGATAATAATAATAAGCACAAAATGAGGTCCTTTAGAAACAATGACACAAATATCAGCTCCTTTCTTTCTGGGATGTTATTGGAAAGTCTAAATAAACTGGAGCCCACTATGAACATGAAATAAGACAGAAACCTTTCTCTGTAAGAAGTCGCTGTTGCTCCCTCTTTCACCTCTGTGCAGTCAGCCTGAGGACAAAATGGAACCAGTGTTTTATTACATTAGCTGTAATTCAGCATACGACCATCACTCAATTACTCAGTTATTGACGTGTGTGTGTGTGTGTGTGTGTGTGTGTGTGTGTGTGTGCGTGTGCGTGTGCGTGTGCGTGTGCGTGTGCGCAGAGTGCTGCCTCTGTCAGTTTTAAATTAGGATAAACACACACACACACACACACACACACACACACACACAGCTCCAAGTATTTTACCTGTAAATATTAAAGTATGCATGTGTGCACTTTCATTAATTAGAATTATTGACAGATTAGCTGTAGCCGAATCAGCACATCCTGTTAAAGTGAGTCGCGAAGAGCAGAGGAGAAATGTGCGAAAAGTGCATCCTTGTCGTGAAAGCAGATTTCATGTTTTGAGTGCACTTCACCAGATTTTAATTTCCAAATCCCATGTGTACATTTTAAGTACACTCTCTTGTGCACACTTCTGAGTACGATTCGGAGTGCGCTCTCCTCAAACACAGGAAATGATGTGAACTATTTTTAGAAGCACTTAAACACTTAAAAGTGCGCACTTTTGACAGCAATGTAAAGTGCATGCTTTCATGCACATATGTTTAAGTACACTGAAGGGTGCACTCTTTGCTCAGGTCCTGTAGAACAAAAAAAACAAAATTATTGTAAGATAATTTTTCAAAATACCTGTATACAAACAGTAAACACAGCGCACAATACATAAAAAGTGCACCACAAGTTGGTGCATGATTCAAAGTAAACTTTTAAGTGCACTCTTGAGGTGCTTGTTCCTCTTGCAAGTGACCTTATTGAAGAGTACACATATATATTAAGTGCACACTTTGATGTGTACTTCTAAGTTCACAGTTTTAAGTGTTCTTAAAGGTGCACTCTTTAAGTTGCTGCTAATGAGTGTTCTTAAAAAGTATCTGTTAAGTATATTTTTTTTATACACTTGAAATTTAAAGTATGAGACGTTATGCACAAAGAGAACACTTTGGCATGTACTTGAGAGTGAACACTTTAGTTAAGAGTACCTTTACAGTCACATAATAGAGATAATGATATTTATTGATCGTAAAAAATGACTTTTGTTTCCAAGCACACTTCTTTGTGTTCCTAAGTGCATACTTAAAAGTGCACATGAATGCATGCACATAACCAAGACAAAGGTGTTGCTCTATAAATGAAATATGACTTACTTATCGAGGTTTTGCAGAAAATTTAACAGTCAAAGCAGAACGGTCACATGATCACAGAGATAAACGTGTTATATTTTTTCAGCTTCCTGCAGCGTGAGGGTGGCTGTGACAGAGCATCATAAAGTGTGGACACAGAGGAGGACGAAGGAGTGAGGATCACAGAGCGCTGACATCAGATCCTGTGGGGTTAAGAGGCAGCAGAAAACAGGAGATTATTAAAAATAATAAGGCCCAGCTCGGCTCTGCTCTAATGACGTGTGTGCAAACAAGACTGGAAATACTCCAAGTGGACGAGGGTCCTCGACTGTTTCAGGTTTTGTTCTGACCCTCTGTTTTCAAACGTGTAGGAGAAGATTAGTGTACTAACCCTGCGTATCTATTATTCATGAATTGACTCTGTAGTTCTATTTTTTTAATGATTAAATGACTAAATTAAGATTAATTCTTTTAAATTACAAATCCCATTAAACATGTTGCACTGAATAAGAAAGGAGAGTGTGCACAACCAAAACTCTACTGACTCTGACTTTCTTCTCACTTCAGCGCCAGAACACACATCTTCATTCCTGTAAGTACGGCCAATAAAGGAGAATAAACACATTAAAACCTCCTGAAGCTGCTGCAGCAGCAGCACAAAAAGAGATAAATCTGTGTGTGAGGGGAAGTTAACAAGCTTTAGATTTGTGTTCACAGATGTGTGTTAGAATGAGGAGCTGACTGAGGAGGATTTAACATGGGCAATGACGCCATCTAGTGTTCAAATAAGTGGCTTACAGGAAGGTAAACACGATGAAACGGTGAAAATTTTAAGTTAAAATCAGTGAAATGAACATTTAAAAATGATAAGAGAGTGTAGGTCATAGGACTTGAAGGAAAACATGATTTTTTTAATGAGGATGTTCATAAACTTGTTTAAATAGGTATTTCTTATTCATCTTCTCACAGTTTTTATTAAAAGTTCATCTGCTGTGTCTTCACAGTCCAGTGTGAGATCCTCAGCACAGACTTTTCTCTTTAGTATGACACCTTTATTTTTCAGGGATAGTTTCAGAAGTACTTTGTTGCCATCTACTGGCAAATTAAATGTATGATAATTTATGTCTCATAAGGGGAGATAAAAGGGGGGAGAGGCACATTATAGTTGTTTATGCATTTAAAAAAATCTGCTTTATGAATGGAGGATGAATAAATAGAAAAATCAACTTCGCCAGATAACATATCGGTTTTGTTTAAAGACCACTATATGTCAAGAATGATTATTATAATTATTTACTATTGTATTTTTTTCCTTTATATTATTATTATTATTATTATTATTATTATTTGCTTGTTTGTTTGTTTGTTAGTTAAATCAATGCTTTAGTTGCTTTTGCTCGGTTTTAACTTCAATTTAAACCATGGCTGTGTCTCATTTCAGAGACCGCATCGACCTAAGTGCCCTTCTGCACCGTCGAACGGTGCATTTGAAGTGTGCATGACGTCACGACGGTGCGAACGGTGTCCCGTTTGGCACGAGATGCTAAAAAATGCTAAGCGCGCTTAGCATGTTTTCAAGCGTGCATTTATCCACGCTTTCGTGCCGTCGGTATCCCAGAATCCTTTGCGTGCCGCTGCACAGCTGCGCATTTCAGGTGAGAGGCTGGACTCGCTTGGAGACGCAGCGCGTCTTCAAAGAAATTACAAGCAATCCAAAAACAGCAGACAGTCAGCTCAGGCTGTATGAGAGCATGATCTCTGAACTCACTAAAATCTGTAAACCAAACATTATAGATTTAGAGACGAACTGATCCGCTCTGCTACAACTATCAAAAACATTAGAAATAAGAAAGCTGACAAAACTACAGCAGAGTATCAGGACAACATTGAGGTTTTTTTCTTTAAAGATTTAGAGATTAAAGTTGTAAATTTAGGAGAATAAAGTCATAAAGTATATAAAGTCATAAAGCTGCTTTTGTGGAGGGGGAAATGACTGAAGCTGGTCATCTGCAGGGTTATCTGTGGATGTATCAGCGGGTCATTCAGAGAGATTTTGTGGTTTCTGAAGAAACAATCAAACTGATGATGATCAACATTTGTGATCCAGAGGGAGTCGAGCTCCGACGAGCACCACGTCTCTGACACCGGCCGTAGCCTACACCTGCAGAGACACCAACACCTTATTACTGCATATGGATTCATATCATAAATTAAAGCTCAATGTCATTCACGGATATTTACGGCTGCATTGACAGATATATCCTCAGCATATTCATTTCTGCCTCCACAAAAGCAGCGATTTCCTTCAAGTACACCAGTTTTTTTCCCCGTGGAAAAGACGTATTTCTCATATATTCTTTTTTTAAGTCTTTATACTTATGACAATGTGATGCTGATGTGCCAGAGGATGAAGTATCTCCTATCCTCCTTCTCAATAGGGCCCTCATACTCCTTCATACAAAACAATCATTGGATTAATTTTGTGGGAATGATCTGGGCTTGTATGTATCTACTATTTTGTTTCTGTGCAAGGTCGCACAATTAAAACAATACATGCTGCGCTCCGCAGCTTTTTTTCTGATCAGTCGTGACGTAAGCCTGAGGGCGGGGACATTTGGAGACCTTCGGAGGACTTCCTGGTGGAGTTGCCAAATGTCCCCGCCCTCAGGCTCGCGTCACGACTGACTTAAAGGAAACCCGCGGAGCGCAGCATTTATTGTTTTAATTGTGCGACCTTGCACAGACACAAAATAGTAGATACATACAAGCACAATTCATCCAATGATTGTTTTGTAAGAGGAGTATGAGGGCCATATTGAGATTTAAGACTTTAAGGACTTCGAGATTTAAGTCGTGAATTTACGAGAATAAAGTCATTAATTTATGAGAATGAAGTCATAACCTGTTATTTCAGAGAGACTTGTTAAAATTAGGGCCATGAAGCATTTGAAGGAACTGTGCTTCAGTATAGGTTTCACAAACAAGGAGATTCTTCATCCTCTGGCACATCAGCATCACATTGTCATAAGTATAAAGACTTTTAAAAGAATATATGAGAAATACGTCTTTTCCACGGGGAAAAATATTGGTGTACTTGAAGGAAATCGCTGCTTTTGTGGAGGCAGAAATGAATATGCTGAGGATATATCTGTCAATGCAGCCGTTAATATCCGTGAATGACATTGAGCTTTAGTTTATGATATGAATCCATATGCCGTAATAAGGTGTTGGTGTCTCTGCAGGTGTAGGCTACGGCCGGTGTCAGAGACGTGGTGCTCGTCGGAGCTCGACTCCCTCTGGATCACAAATGTTGATTATCATCAGTTTGATTGTTTCTTCAGAAACCACAAAATCTCTCTTAATGACCCGCTGATACATCCACAGATAACCCTGCAGATGACCAGCTTCAGTCATTTCCCCCTCCGCAAAAGCAGCTTTATGACTTTATTTACTTTATGACTTTATTCTCCTAAATTTACAACTTTAATCTCTAAATCTTAAAAGAAAAAAACCTCAATGTTGTCCTGATACTCTGCTGTAGTTTTGTCAGCTTTCTCATTTCTAATGTTTTTGATAGTTGTAACACAGCGGATCAGTTCGTCTCTAAATCTATAATGTTTGGTTTACAGATTTTAGTGAGTTCAGAGATCATGCTTTCATACAGCCTGAGCTGACTGTCTGATGGTTTTGGATTGCTTGTATTTTCTTCGAAGACGCGCTGTGTCTCCAAGCGCGTCCAGCCTCTCACCTGAAATGCACAGCTGTGCAGCGGCACGCAAAGAATTCGGGGATACCGACGGCACGAAAGCGTGGATACATGCACGCTTGAAAACAAGGCGGGGGTAGTGTGGTTTTGAGACCGAATTTGAAGCGCGCTTAGTATTTTGTGCCAAACGGGACACCGTTCGTGCCGCGTGGTGACCTCACGTACGCGTCAGATGCGCCGTCCGATGGCTGCTGTATCTGAAATGGGACACAGGAAGGGCACAGAACGGCGCAAAACGGCGTAAAACGGCTAAAAACGGCAGTGCACTCAGCTAAGCGCCGTTAAGCGCGCTTATCACGATGCGGTCTCTGAAATGAGACACAGCCCATATTTCCAAATGTAAAGTTCAATCTGCTTTATAGTGTTGATGATTGTTGTTGTCCTACTTCAGACAGCAGGTGGCGGTATAACGCATCTGAGCCCTTTCCGGTTGTGGGTCGCCATCACACGCAGGAGTGTCAAAGTTCACCTGAGAGGAGCACGCGGATGGCGATTATGGGAGGGTTTTAGTGTTCTTTTGATGAGTTTGGCTTGTTGTTATGAAAAGTGTTTGTTTTGGCGAGTTTGAACGTTTTTGAGCATGTGTAATGGCATGAATGCGTTAAGCTGTTGTTTTAGTGTTCTTTTGATGAGTTTGGCTTGTTGTTATGAAAAGTGTTTGTTTTGGCGAGTTTGAACGTTTTTGAGCATGTGTAATGGCATGAGTGCGTTAAGCTGTTGTTTTTGTGTTCTTTTGATGAGTTTGGCTTGTTGTTATGAAAAGTGTTTGTTTTGGCGAGTTTGAACGTTTTTGAGCATGTGTAATGGCATGAATGCGTTAAGCTGTTGTTTTAGTGTTCTTTTGATGAGTTTGCCTTGTTGTTATGAACATTGTTCGTTTTGGCCAGTTTGAAGGTTTTTTAGCATGTGTAATGGCATGAATGTGTTGAATTAGTAATCCCTTGTGTTAAGCCGTTGTTTTAGTGTTCTTTTGGTGAGTTTGGCTTGTTGTTATGAAAAGTGTTTGTTTTGGCGAGTTTGAACGTTTTTGAGCATGTGTAATGGCATGAATGCGTCAAGTTGTTGTTTTAGTGTTCTTATGATGAGTTTGCCTTGTTGTTATGAACATTGTTCGTTTTGGCCAGTTTGAAGGTTTTTTAGCATGTGTAATGGCATGAATGTGTTGAATTAGTAATCCCTTGTGTTAAGCCGTTGTTTTAGTGTTCTTTTGGTGAGTTTGGCTTGTTGTTATGAAAAGTGTTTGTTTTGGCGAGTTTGAACGTTTTTGAGCATGTGTAACGGCATGAATGCGTCAAGTTGTTGTTTTAGTGTTCTTATGATGAGTTTGGCTTGTTGTTATGAACATTGTTCGTTTTGGCGAGTTTGAAGGTTTTTGAGCATGTGTAATGGCATGAATGTGTTGAATTAGTAATCCCTTGTGTTAAGCTGTTGTTTTAGTGTTCTTTTGACGAGTTTGGCTTGTTGTTATGAAAAGTGTTTGTTTTGGCGAGTTTGAACGTTTTTGAGCATGTGTAATGGCATGAATGCGTTAAGCTGTTGTTTTAGTGTTTTTTTGATGAGTTTGGCTTGTTGTTATGAACATAGTTCCTTTTGGCCAGTTTGAAGGTTTTTTAGCATGTGTAATGGCATGAATGTGTTGAATTAGTAATCCCTTGTGTTAAGCCGTTGTTTTAGTGTTCTTTTGATGAGTTTGGCTTGTTGTTATGAAAAGTGTTTGTTTTGGCGAGTTTGAACATTTTTGAGCATGTGTAATGGCATGAATGCGTTAAGCTGTTGTTTTAGTGTTCTTTTGATGAGTTTGGCTTGTTGTTATGAAAAGTGTTTGTTTTGGCGAGTTTGAACGTTTTTGAGCATGTGTAATGGCATGAGTGCGTTAAGCTGTTGTTTTTGTGTTCTTTTGATGAGTTTGGCTTGTTGTTATGAAAAGTGTTTGTTTTGGCGAGTTTGAACGTTTTTGAGCATGTGTAATGACATGAATGCGTTAAGCTGTTGTTTTAGTGTTTCTTTGATGAGTTTGGCTTGTTGTTATGAACATAGTTCCTTTGGGCCAGTTTGAACGTTTTTTAGCATGTGTAATGGCATGAATGTGTTGAATTAGTAATCCCTTGTGTTAAGCCGTTGTTTTAGTGTTCTTTTGGTGAGTTTGGCTTGTTGTTATGAAAAGTGTTTGTTTTGGCGAGTTTGAACGTTTTTGAGCATGTGTAATGGCATGAATGCGTTAAGCTGTTGTTTTAGTGTTCTTTTGATGAGTTTGGCTTGTTGTTATGAAAAGTGTTTGTTTTGGCGAGTTTGAACGTTTTTGAGCATGTGTAACGGCATGAATGCGTTAAGCTGTTGTTTTAGTGTTCTTATGATGAGTTTGGCTTGTTGTTATGAACATTGTTCGTTTGGGCCAGTTTGAAGGTTTTTTGCATGTGTAATGGCATGAATGTGTTGAATTAGTAATCCCTTATGTTAAGCTGTTGTTTTAGTGTTCTTTTGATGAGTTTGGCTTGTTGTTATGAAAAGTGTTTGTTTTGGCGAGTTTGAACGTTTTTGAGCATGTGTAATGGCATGAATGTGTTGAATTAGTAATCCCTTGTGTAAAGCTGTTGTTTTAATGTTCTTTTGATGAGTTTGGCTTGTTGTTATGAAAAGTGTTTGTTTTGGCGAGTTTGAACGTTTTTGAGCATGTGTAATGGCATGAATGCGTTAAGCTGTTGTTTTAGTGTTCTTTTGACGAGTTTGGCTTGTTGTTATGAAAAGTGTTTGTTTTGGCGAGTTTGAACGTTTTTGAGCATGTGTAATGGCATGAATGCGTTAAGCTGTTGTTTTAGTGTTCTTTTGATGAGTTTGGCTTGTTGTTATGAAAAGTGTTTGTTTTGGCGAGTTTAAACGTTTTTGAGCATGTGTAATGGCATGAGTGCGTTAAGCTGTTGTTTTTGTGTTCTTTTGATGAGTTTGGCTTGTTGTTATGAAAAGTGTTTGTTTTGGCGAGTTTGAACGTTTTTGAGCATGTGTAATGGCATGAATGCGTTAAGCTGTTGTTTTAGTGTTCTTTTGATGAGTTTGCCTTGTTGTTATGAACATAGTTCCTTTTGGCCAGTTTGAAGGTTTTTTAGCATGTGTAATGGCATGAATGTGTTGAATTAGTAATCCCTTGTGTTAAGCCGTTGTTTTAGTGTTCTTTTGATGAGTTTGGCTTGTTGTTATGAAAAGTGTTTGTTTTGGCGAGTTTGAACGTTTTTGAGCATGTGTAATGGCATGAATGCGTTAAGCTGTTGTTTTAGTGTTCTTTTGATGAGTTTGGCTTGTTGTTATGAAAAGTGTTTGTTTTGGCGAGTTTGAACGTTTTTGAGCATGTGTAATGGCATGAGTGCGTTAAGCTGTTGTTTTAGTGTTCTTTTGATGAGTTTGGCTTGTTGTTATGAAAAGTGTTTGTTTTGGCGAGTTTGAACGTTTTTGAGCATGTGTAATGACATGAATGCGTTAAGCTGTTGTTTTAGTGTTTTTTTGATGAGTTTGGCTTGTTGTTATGAACATAGTTCCTTTGGGCCAGTTTGAAGGTTTTTTAGCATGTGTAATGGCATGAATGTGTTGAATTAGTAATCCCTTGTGTTAAGCCGTTGTTTTAGTGTTCTTTTGGTGAGTTTGGCTTGTTGTTATGAAAAGTGTTTGTTTTGGCGAGTTTGAACGTTTTTGAGCATGTGTAATGGCATGAATGCGTTAAGCTGTTGTTTTAGTGTTCTTATGATGAGTTTGGCTTGTTGTTATGAACATTGTTCGTTTGGGCCAGTTTGAAGGTTTTTTTGCATGTGTAATGGCATGAATGTGTTGAATTAGTAATCCCTTATGTTAAGCTGTTGTTTTAGTGTTCTTTTGATGAGTTTGGCTTGTTGTTATGAAAAGTGTTTGTTTTGGCGAGTTTGAACGTTTTTGAAAATGTGTAATGGCATGAATGCGTTAAGCTGTTGTTTTAGTGTTCTTATGATGAGTTTGGCTTGTTGTTATGAACATTGTTCGTTTGGGCCAGTTTGAAGGTTTTTTTGCATGTGTAATGGCATGAATGTGTTGAATTAGTAATCCCTTATGTTAAGCTGTTGTTTTAGTGTTCTTTTGATGAGTTTGGCTTGTTGTTATGAAAAGTGTTTGTTTTGGCGAGTTTGAACGTTTTTGAGCATGTGTAATGGCACGAATGCGTTAAGCTGTTGTTTTAGTGTTCTTTTGATGAGTTTGGCTTGTTGTTATGAAAAGTGTTTGTTTTGGCGAGTTTGAACGTTTTTGAGCATGTGTAATGGCATGAGTGCGTTAAGCTGTTGTTTTAGTGTTCTTTTGATGAGTTTGGCTTGTTGTTATGAAAAGTGTTTGTTTTGGCGAGTTTGAACGTTTTTGAGCATGTGTAATGACATGAATGCGTTAAGCTGTTGTTTTAGTGTTTTTTTGATGAGTTTGGCTTGTTGTTATGAACATAGTTCCTTTGGGCCAGTTTGAAGGTTTTTTAGCATGTGTAATGGCATGAATGTGTTGAATTAGTAATCCCTTGTGTTAAGCCGTTGTTTTAGTGTTCTTTTGGTGAGTTTGGCTTGTTGTTATGAAAAGTGTTTGTTTTGGCGAGTTTGAACGTTTTTGAGCATGTGTAATGGCATGAATGCGTTAAGCTGTTGTTTTAGTGTTCTTATGATGAGTTTGGCTTGTTGTTATGAACATTGTTCGTTTGGGCCAGTTTGAAGGTTTTTTTGCATGTGTAATGGCATGAATGTGTTGAATTAGTAATCCCTTATGTTAAGCTGTTGTTTTAGTGTTCTTTTGATGAGTTTGGCTTGTTGTTATGAAAAGTGTTTGTTTTGGCGAGTTTGAACGTTTTTGAGCATGTGTAATGGCATGAATGTGTTGAATTAGTAATCCCTTGTTTAAAGCTGTTGTTTTAATGTTCTTTTGATGAGTTTGGCTTGTTGTTATGAAAAGTGTTTGTTTTGGCGAGTTTGAACGTTTTTGAGCATGTGTAATGGCATGAATGCGTTAAGCTGTTGTTTTAGTGTTCTTTTGACGAGTTTGGCTTGTTGTTATGAAAAGTGTTTGTTTTGGCGAGTTTGAACGTTTTTGAGCATGTGTAATGGCATGAATGCGTTAAGCTGTTGTTTTAGTGTTCTTTTGATGAGTTTGGCTTGTTGTTATGAACATTGTTCGTTTTGGCCAGTTTGAAGGTTTTTTAGCATATGTAATGGCATGAATGTGTTGAATTAGTAATCCCTTGTGTTAAGCCGTTGTTTTAGTGTTCTTTTGATGAGTTTGGCTTGTTGTTATGAAAAGTGTTTGTTTTGGCGAGTTTGAACGTTTTTGTGCATGTGTAATGGCATGAATCCGTTAAGCTGTTGTTTTAGTGTTATTTTGATGACTTTGGCTTGTTGTTATGCACATTGTTTATTTTAGAGAGTTTGAAGGTTTTTGAGCATGAGTTATGGCATGTATGTGTTGAATTAGTAATCCCTTGTGTTTAGTTGTTGTTGTAGTGTTCTTTTAAAGAGTTTGGCTTCTTGTTATGATCATTGTTTGTTTTGGCGAGTTTGAAGGTTTTTGAGCATGTTTTATGGCATGCATCTGTTGAGTTTTTTACCCCCTGTGTTTAGCTGTTGTTTAAGTGTTATTTTGATGTGTTGGCTTGTTGTTATGATCGTAGTTTGTACTGGCGAGTTTGAAGGTTTGTGCGCATGGTTTATGGCTCGTATGTGTTGAATTTGCTACCCCTTGTGCTAAATTGTATTTTAAGTGTTCTTTTAAAGAGTTTGAAACCGTTAGATTTAGATCAGTTGTTAATGCTCAGTGGCTAAAAAAAATCACTGATATTAACCGCTGTAAAAACATATTGGATTCATATTTTTTCTAGATTTTTTTCACACATCTCTTAATTAACTTCTGCTGTATTCAAAACTAGTAAATGTGTCATTAAAAAATCAAAATTTTAACCCTTTAAGGGTCAATTTAAAACATACACCCACTAATATTAGGAAAAAACGAAAAAATGTAACCAATGTTAACATTAGAACCAAACCATATTTTATCGCTCAAAATGCAATAAAACAAAAGCCATAAATACACAACAACAGAGTATCAAACCAGAACAAACGACTAACTTTTGAGGGTGAAGCGGTGGAGAGGACTGAAAGAAACCTGGGGAGCCTAAAGCCGCGTTCAGACCAAACGCGACCTGGTCGCGTCGCGTTGGTCGGTCAAGTCGCGTCGCGTGGTGCTCTGGTGTGTTCACACCGGGTCCAAAGTTGCAGTCGCAGGTCGCGGCTGGTCGCCGGTGACGTCATCCATGTCACTAGCTCAGTTTTCAGTTCATCAGTGCTGCCGCATATCTGTACATCCGCAGTAGACGCCGCCGGCGTTTATGGGTGCATGAAACCATCTGGAGGAGGACGGAGCTGGGTGAATTTCACCGCTTGCTCCAGGAACTCCGCCTGGACGACGGCCGCTTCCAGCGGTATTTCCGTGTGTCGACGGCGCAGTTCGAGGACCTCCTCGCCCAGGTGGGAAGCAGCATCTCCCGCCTGGACACGAAATACAGGCGCTTCATCTCAGCTTCGGAGCGCCTGTCTATCTGTCTGTCCCTCATATAAACGTCTCTAAGCCCCTTCCACCGCTTGCGGCACACATCCACTGCAAAGACACACACACACACATACGTTGAAACATGTAGCCTAGCAAGCAGGGGCAGTTAGCTGGGTGGTAGCTAACGGATGTGATTAACTGCTCCTCCATTGTGATTCTTCATCTCCTCTTCCTTGTTTCGCCGGTTTGTTGACGTCAGCAGAGCCCTGATTGGCTGTCGCGGCACGAAGTCGCTCCCAAAGTTCAAATATTTGAACTTTGGGAGCGACGCGACTTGGCGTCCTGCGACCTCGGCGACGCGACCTCGGGGACGCGCCTTGGCGACCGGTCGCCCGGTCGCGCATGGTCACGTCGCAGGAAGCCGGCGGTCGCCAAGTCGCGTCAGGTCGCGGCTGGCCATAGACTTTGCATTGGGAGCCGTCGCCAAGTCGCGTCAGGTCGCGGCTGGTCTGAACGCGGCTTAAGAGAGCGAATGTGTGAGAAATTGAGTGAGCAAAGAGAGATAAAATGTAAAAGTGTGTGTGTGTGTTTGAGTGAGTGAGTGAGTGAGTGAGTGAGTGAGTGAGTGAGTGAGTGAGTGAGTGAGTGTGTGTGTGTGTTTGTGTGTTCAATGTTTGAAGCAAGACCGGCAGGAGATCTCTCTGTGGTCATGCCAGATGTGTTTCCAAACAGGCCAGACAAAATCGGAAGCCCCAAAAAATGTGTGTTTGCGTGCGTGTGTGCATGCGTGCATGTGAGTGTGTGCATGTGAGAGAGAGAGGGGAGGAGCCTGCAGGTCATGACCCAGCACTGACCCCGCCACAAAAGTTAACTATGTTCTTCAGCTCTCAGAAGTACAGAGAGGGGGAAAAAAATAAACAAAAACAAAAGTGAGCTGTCCTGCAATCCACAACTTGCAGATTCTAATGACCATTTTTTCATGAGAAGAGCAAGAGAAAGCATGAAGAGAAGCTTCAGCACCACGGAGGCCCTTGCAATTGTCATTGATTCTGATGGGATGGAATCTGACCCCCCACAGGATCCATCATCATTGTCTGGCCTGTTTTGTTCGAGGGGTGAATCTACTGCCTCACTGTGAGATGTGGATCTCTCCTGGAACCGGAGAAAGTGATTCAGGAGGAGGCTTTTCGTGGAGGACCTGGGAACGGCTTTGGTGTCAAAAAGAACTAACAAAACCTGTGAGTTATGTGTGAAACACATCTGGCATGAACACAGAGTGATCTCCTGCAGGTCTTGCTTCAAACACTGAACACACACACACACACACAGAGCTGAGTCCTGGCTCAGCACATTACGACCAAGCTGGTACCGAAAGAGAATGCGAGTATAGAAAAGACATAAATAGTATACCTTCAGGAAGCCCAAAAACCCCAAATATTTTTTTTTCATTTTTCGTTTTTTTTTGGTCTAACTAACACCAAAAGGTTGGAAAAGAGGTCCTACAAAGGTTTTGGACAGTGATTTTAACCCTCACGCCAAAAACCTTAAACCTTTCCAAAGCCCCATAACCTAATACCCGGGTATTACCTTCAGGAAGCCCAAAAACCCCAAATATTTTTTTTTCATTTTTCGTTTTTTTTTGGTCTAACTAACACCAAAAGGTTTGAAAAGAGGTCCTAAAAAGGTTTTGGACAGTGATTTTAACCCTTACGCCAAAAACCTTAAACCTTACCCTAGCCCCATAACCTAATACCCGGGTATTACCTTCAGGAAGACCGAACACCCCAAATATTTTTTTTTCATTTATCTTTTTTTTTTTGTCTAACTAACTCCAAAAGGTTGGAAAAGACTTCCTACAAAGGTTTTGGACAGTGATTTTAACCCTCACGCCAAAAACCTTAAACCTTAACCTAGCCCCATAACCTAATACCCGGGTATTACCTTCAGGAAGCCCGAACACCCCAAATATTTTTTTTTCATTTATCTTTTTTTTTTGTCTAACTAACTCCAAAAGGTTGGAAAAGGCTTCCTACAAAGGTTTTGGACAGTGATTTTAACCCTCACGCCAAAAACCTTAAACCTTACCCTAGCCCCATAACCTAATACCCGGGTATTACCTTCAGGAAGCCCGAACACCCCAAATATATATTTTTTCTTTTTCTTTTTTTTTTGGTCAAACTAGCTCCAAAAGGTCTGAAACATGTTCCTTAAAAAATATTGGACAGTGATTTTAACCCTTATGCCAAAAACCTTAAACCTAATCCTAGCCCCATAACCTAATACTTACCCTGAAGGGTATTACCTTCAGGAAGCCCGAACACCCCAAATATTTTTTTTTCATTTTACATTTTTTTTGGTGTAACCAACTCCAAATGGTCTGAAACATGTTCCTACAAAGGTTTTGGACAGTGATTTTAACCCTCACGCCAAAAACCTTAAACCTTACCCTAGCCCCATTACCTAATACCCGGGTATTACCTTCAGGAAGCCCGAACACCCCAAATATATATTTTTTTCATTTTACATTTTTTTTTGGTCTAACTAACACCAAAAGGTTGGAAAAGAGGTCCTACAAAGGTTTTGGACAGTGATTTTAACTCTAACGCCAAAAACGTTAAACCTTACCCTAGCCCCATAACCTAATACCCGGGTATTACCTTCAGGAAGCCCGAACACCCCAAATATTTTTTTTTCATTTATCTTTTTTTTTTTTGTCTAACTTATTCCCAAAGTTTGGAAAAGAGTTCCTACAAAGGTTTTGGACAGTGATTTTTACCCTCACGCCGAAAAACCTTAAACCTTAAACCTTACCCTAGCCCCAAAACCTACTACCCGGGTATTACCTTCAGGAAGCCCGAACACCCCAAATATATATTTTTTATTTTTCTTTTTGTTTTGGTCTAACTTGCTCTCAAAGGTTGGAAAAGAGTTCCTACAAAGGTTTTGGACATTGATTTTAACCCTAACGCCAAAAACCTTAACATTACCCTAGCCCAGATACCTAGTATTACCTTCAGGAAGCTTGAACACCCCAAATATTTTTTTTTCATTTTACATTTTTTTTTGGTGTTACCAACTCCAAAAGGTCTGAAACATGTTCCTAAAAAGGTTTTGGACAGTGATTTTAACCCTAACGCCAAAAACCTTAAACCTTACCCTAGCCCCATAACCTCATACCCGGGTATTACCTTCAGGAAGCCCGAACACCCCAAATATTTTTTTTTTCATTTTACATTTTTTTTTGGTGTAACCAACTCCAAAAGGTCTTAAACATGTTCCTAAAAAGGTTTTGGACACTGATTTTAACTCTAACGCCAAAAACCTTAAACCTTACCCTAGCCCCATAACCTAATACCCGGGTATTACCTTCAGGAAGCCCGAACACCCCAAATCCTTTCTGCACTTATTAATTTGGTCAAGTGACGGATTTAACAAGAAGCTGTCAAGATCGAACGATGCCATTTTACCTACCTAAGCACACACACACAATAATCTTACCTTTATTAACAAAAACTTTTCGGATTTCCGGGTCTCCTTTAACGGATTAGTATCCCGGACGAGCCCCCATTTATGTTACGACCAGCTCGTGTAAGGGAGAAGGGAAGCTACATAAAACCGACCAGATGTTAAATGATCAAATCAAGTTATTTATTAACAAAAGTAAAATTGGCAGTAACAACAAAAAGAGAGGCAATAAAGGCCTTAAAGGAAACTTAACAGGTTGCCAAAAAACACAGGGAGACTCTAACCTAGAGTTAGTTACCAGTAAAAATAAAAAGATCTGCTCACATCGGCAAGAAACGAACTCAAATACAATACTCAGCCCTAATGCTGGATACAAAAAGGAAAGCAGGTAGGCGTGTGCAAACCAAAATGCCTCACAAGCTACGAAAAAGTCCCAATTCACAATCACTAAGACAATCTGTCTGAGGAAGAGGCATGGGAGCTCCACTGGGTACAGCGTGCTCCCTGATCTGCAGGTCCGCTGGAGTTTTATCCACTCCCCCCAAGTGGCTCCTCTCAAGTGGCAGAAGCCCTCAGCCAGTCAGTGTTTGCAGTTTCCAGGTGGAGGTGATCAGGCACTTGATTGATCCGCAGCCACGGCAACCTGTGAACTGCAGGCAGCATGCACACACACGCACTCTCACACACGCACACACACACAGAGAGAGGAAGACCCAAGACTCGCCACACTAAGGCGGCGGCCGTAACACCCCTCCCCTTAAGAGGCAAA